TTAATCTCAGTAGGGCTTGCACCCCTAGCTCACCCCAGATGCACCGAGGAGGCCAAGTGGGCCCAGCTTCAGCCCCCTGGCAGGTGCAGAGGAAACCTGCCCTCACCCCGCAGGGGGGGGGGCCCTCACCCCGCGGGGGGGGGGGGGGGGGGGAGGTTTGCGCTCCAATTTTCTGTGGCCTAGGGCCCCAGTAAATGTTAATCTGCCACTGCTTAGGGGCCTGTGTTCACCTACAGGGCAAATAGAATCTGGCTCTTGGTACGTATCAGCTTGGTGCTTGCCAAAAGAAGAAGTTGGGGATAGGAGGTATGTCTTAAATCCCAGGTCCCACTTTGGGCTGTAAGGAAGTGTCTCTATCCATTTGGAACCTGTGGAGTTGAAGCCTTTCCTGGAAGTAGTTGACTGGCACAGAAATAAGCAGAGCTCAATGTTTTAAAGAACTGGTGCTGGTGCTCCCTATTATATAATAGCGTAGGCTGATTGCAGACATTAAAAAAAAATCCCCCAAACCGTGATTTACTAGAAGCAGCAGCGTGTTACATTGACCTGGCTCCACAGCAACTGTATCAATCAGGTGCTTCAGCGGGGCTTTTTGGCACTTTTAGCTAAAGCTGATTCAATCAGCTATGAAATAAAAGTGTCAAAAATCCCCACTAAAGCACCTGACCTATACAGATTGGGCAAGCCGGGTCCAGCTGAGGCACTGTCTTTTTTGGGCATGTGTGGGGCTCAGTACGGGAATGTGCCAAGATAAAACAAAGCACCATTTAAAAAAATTTTTTTTTAAATATTTGCAAGCAGCCTTAGAGTGCTCACCCAGGAAAGAGGAGACATGGGCTCAATTCCCTCTTCTGCCTTCATGGCTTATCTCCCTGAAGAATGCCCTATCAACAGACTATGGCTAGGTACAGACATTCAAAAAGCTGGAGACGGAATCGATCCAAGTTATGCAGCTTTTTGTAAGAGGCATAGACTATATCAGTAGCGAACAGAATGCACATTCAGTAGTGAACAGAATGCACGCTCGCCCTTTGGTGGGGGGAGCGCTCAGGCTGCCTGCACAGACCAAGGCCAGCAATTTGGGGGTGCTCCAGCTGCCTCATGGGCTCCCTAGGCTGCCAAAGACTGCCGAGTGTGGACAAGTGCCCGAGCCACCCTGACTGGATGCTGGGCATGAATGAGCATACCTCCAACCCCCTGCTGCATCATCTGTCAGCCACAGGCCAGCTACAAGCCTGCAGAAGGAAGAAGTAAGGAAGCCATCTTTTTTCCTGTGCATGTGCTCTAGCACCTGGACACCTGTGTCCTTGGTTTGTGCCCCACACCCTGTCATGAAGTACCCCACAATGTACACACAACCCTGACACAGAACCCAGGAAAATCCCTGTGCTTGGGTGCAGCCCCATAGAGCCCAACTGGGCTACCAGAAACAAGTGAGCATGCCTCCTTCCACTACCTGCCTGTGGCTGACAAATGCCTATAGTAGAGAGATGACATAGCAGGGGGTTGGGGGCATTCTCATCCATGCCCGACAGCCTGGATGGGCTCCACAGGGCTGTGCCTAAGCACAAGGGTTCTCTTGGGCTCCGGCTCAGGTCTGTGCGTGCATTGTGGGGTGCTTCATGACGGAGTGTGGGGGCCCATCCCAGAGACATGGGTACCCAGGTGCCAGGACTTGTACACAGGAAAACAAATGCCTCCCTTCTCCCACCAACCATGCTGCCTGCCTGCTGCTGACAGCTAAGCAGAGGCAGGAGGTGAGGGGGCAGAAAGGATTTGAGCTGGTATGGCTCTGGGCAAGCTCGGGAGTGGGGCCCACTGGATGTTCAGCCAGAGCAGTCCGAGCATATGCCGAGTACTAACATACCATCCTGTGGGGGTGGCAAGAGGGGCTTGCAAAGGAGGCTGGGATGCCGGACGACAGCAACCTCACTTGGATTGATAGGGAAACGATCACTGAAGGTTGATGCACTGGTCTAATCTAAATCAATTATACTTGAGTGCACATTGATGCAGGCCTTAGACCTGGTTCTCCCATTTTTAAAATTTTTAAATTTCGATGTGCATCGAAATTCTGTTCTCTTATGAGTTTAGACCAGTTTCCAATCACTTAGACTGGTAAAAGTGTAATGTCTGTACCTGGTCTATAAGCTGGTTTGACAGGTTGGTACTCTACCCTTCCTGTTGAAACTGCACCACCATGTAGAAAAGAGGTCAAGGACTAGAGAAAGCACACAAGCAGAGGTATGACTTTGTAGCCTAGTGCTTAGGGCACAGGGAGTCCTGGAGTGTTGTCCTACTTTCAGGACCACTTCTGTATTTTATATTAAGCAGTCATTGGATAGAATACAGAAACCGCGGTTGGTATCTCCTCTCCCAGGTGAAGACCCCAACACTAAGCCAGAGAGTCTTACTCTCTTTCTGACCCGTTGAATTTGGAATTCTCTTCTGTACAATATATCTATTCTAGTAAAATAACATCTGATACATTTGGTTACATTAATCACTACTACTATTTTTAAGATAAACCTATGATACCGTGTGTATGGATTATTTAATGTGTGGTCCTCCCTTATCTCTTTCAGGCCTTGTGCTTTCTTTAATTGTGTTCGATGGCTTCCTTTACTTGCTGACCAAATTCGTTCACACTATGGTCACTTAGAAACAGGTTTTGGGCCTTCAGTTTAGCAACACTTCTGCACCTTAACCTGGGCCCCTTGAAAATGGCCAAGGCTGGCAACGCAGCCCACTATGCAAGTTAGCTGAGGTTAGAGTGACCTAGAGTGGCCTTAGTTCTGATATGATTAATGCTCCAAAAACCATCTTTTGCTCTTGGACAAGGAATTTATTCTACCCTTATAGCTCAATCATCAGTGTAATATTCCTTGCCAAATGTCTTTCTGTTCTTCCTTCAAACCTTGTTATCCCATCAAAAGCAGGAAGCCCCTAAGATAGTTTTGTTGAGAAATGACTGCAGAATGCGGGCTTTTACGGACTTCCTGCAATACAGAACTGTGCAGGTTAATGGGCAGAAAACACTCTGTGAGAGATTATTGATTTGAACTTTGCATGCTGTGCAACTTGCCACTCGCTTGGCGTACTGTCCCTCCATGCGTAGCAAGCAGCAAAATAACATTATGTCATGTCACAGTAACAGAAAAGGAACATGAAGCTATTTTGGCAGAAAAGCTTCCAGTGGTGTTTGAACACGCGGTCTTTGCAAGTTGTCTGATGTGTAACTTTACCTCAGGAGAAAGGCAAGCACCAAGATCTGGTATACATTCCCCATGTGTTATCTTGTCTTTAATCACAGGCAGCATACGTCTTGCTGTGCTGGTGCTAAAGATAGACAACGCGTTGCAAATTAGTTTATCGTTTCTGAACATACTGTACTAGTCAACTGCTTCGTTCAGCTGGTTGGTATTTCATTTTTTCCTCTCTCTTTGAGGAACAGAATTAAACATTTGGTTCCACTTTAAAACAAACACAGGGCTTTTCATCTACCAATGCTGGGTGACTTCTTATAAACAAAGGACTGCGTGTTGAGATAAGGAGTCCTCTAATTATAGCATTGTATGTATACATCCACAGGTCACTTTGTGCTTCTAAGAGAGTCAAAGGTTTGCATAGTCTGAATCAGAAATAACCACGCATCGGAAATGATAGGCTTTGTACTGCAGTGGTTAGGATTTTGCAATATCCTTTTTCCCTTTTCATTTCCACAGAAATTATATGCCCACAGAGTCTAGAGTAGTTCTTATTCCATAACTGTGCACGTATGAATTTTTTAGTTTATTTTTCTTTCCACACTTGCCCTTTTCCCTACTCCATTTCCCCTTTTATTTTATTTTTTTGAATTTCTGTCTCGATTTTCATGGTAACATTATTCTAGTCATTTAGACACTGGTCAGCAGTTTTAACAAACATAAGCAGATCCTTGTCTTTTCAGTGCTCTGTCTAAAGTCCACAAGTGGCAAATGAACAGACAAATGTCCAGGTCTCCAATTCTGATCACATGACTATGATACAAACATTCAAATATTTATCATAACCTCCATCACACCAAATATCAACTTTACCCCTAGTGTAATACCCCATAGATCGAGTATGGCATTGTATGGCGAACCCACGTCTACATAAAATTACACATGTAATAAAAACCTTCCTATGACTTTCCCAAATGTCTTATCTATCAGGCTTAACTTGGTGCTTACCAGCTCTAAGCCCACCTCTATCAGATAAATTATTTAGCACGGAAGTCTGTAGCTCTGGGACTGATCTGAAGAATGTTAGAGCAACTATTTAAAGGTTGTATTAGAGCAGTATTTGATCAAGACTGGGACCTATCACTGAATGAAGTGCTGTACAAGCAGAGAGGTAGACAAGGCCTCCTTCCTCCCGAGCAGCTTAGAAGCTGAAACCTTAAATATTAAAACAAGCAAAAGCTGGAACAATAACATCCTGATTCTCCAGGTCTTTCTAAAAAGAATGGGCCAGTGAAAGAGGCAGTTTAGGTACATACCTGCACCTGGAAATTAAGTGCACAGTTGTGTTTTGCATAATTAACTGCCTAGCCAGGCTATGTATTTTAAAGCCATGATGCTGTCTCACAAGAACAGGAGCATGGAAGGACAGCACCCACGTACTCCCAAACAGCTTCCCTGGCTTTATGTACAAGTAAGGATCCACTTCAAAGTTGCCCAGCTAGTTTTTAAATCATTACATAGATTTGCTCTAGCATACCCCATTGACATGGTACCTACTTTTCTTCTTGACTGTCCACAAGACTAGTGCCAGTCTTTGTCCTTTCTTTCAGTCTTAGCACTGTTGATGCAAGAGATTTCTCCTACCCCAGGTCCTACCCCATCAGAAAAACTTTGTTTCTCTCATTCAGTCATTCCTTTTCTCCTGTCTGTCCTCAAGTTGTTTGTTTGCTCTTCTTTTGTATATGTATGTGCATGGGAAGATGTTGCACAGAACAATGTTTCATTGTGTTTTAGGTTCGGAAGAGATCGAATTTGTACAGCTCATGTTCAGAGACAACTTAATCAATGATGGCTATCTGGGTGGCAACTTGCATGGGAAAATGGCAACAGAAGAGTTACACTTTGGTGAAGGCATGCACCGGAAAGCATTTCGAAGTAAAGTAATGCAAGGCCTAGTGCCTGTATTCAGCCCAGGTCATCCCTGTGTTCTTAAAGTACACAATACTGTTATAGCATATGGGGCCAAAAGCAAGGATGAAATTGTTCAAAGGAACTACAAGCTAGCCATGCAGGTAAACTCATTTTCTTCTGTAAAAAAGGAGTTGTGGGAGGAGCTGACGTGGGTAACTGTTTTCAGTAATACTCCATTGGCATATCTGTTTGTAATATAGGAATGTGATGTTCAAAACACTGCGAGAGAGTATGCCAAGATATATGCAGCAGAAGCAGAACCTTTAGAAGGCTTTGGAGAAGTGCCTGAGTAAGTGTGTATACATGTATAATTATTAATATAACATGCTACACAGGATGTGTAATTCCTGGGAGATATAGCTGGGGAGATAGCAAACAGGGCCTTGAGAACATTAGAGGTATGTCTATGTCTCCTCCTATGCAAGCCTCAGTAGCCTTCCTAGTTTAGGCATACCCTAAAGTCATCTTAGGTGGACACTGATGTGTCAAAGGCGCTCAAGCCAGGGAGTTCAGCTCTGGCTCTGGATTCTTCCTAGGTTTAGCTGTTTAGACCGTGGTTGGTCCCTCTTTACAGATGAGGTCAGTGTGTGGAGCTCAGACTAGCAGCTGTAGCCCAGTTTCAACTCTGCACTTGAGGCTGGAAAGTGACACCTAGTTCACTGACAGATGTGAGGCTTCCTGCTGTAAATTATGGTGCTTCACAGGAAGTGCCATACATTACAGTGACCCTGCAACCAAAAAGATGCTTTCTGTTGGGTTGGAAGGGGTGGGTGGGTGAGAATCAAACTCCACTTTGGAGCTGGCTGTATGCCTGCAGCCTCTCTCCCCTAGCCCAGTCCCCACCAGCTCCAGTGCTATCTTCAGGATAGGAGAGGAGGAAAAGGAGGGGAGGGAGTTCAGTCTGGGGTTTTCCCAGCCTGTGCTGGGGGAGGGTGGATTGGAGACCCCACACCTGGGGGGGGTTTCCAATCCACCCCTTCCCCTCCCCCCGAACTCTGGCGCAGGCTGGGCAAACCCCAGACCGAGCTCCTTTTCCTCCCATCCTGAAGACAGCACCGGTGATGAAGCTGTGCTGCTTCAGCCCAACCCTGCTGCTAGCACACACAACAGAAGTTAATGAAGGTTGGAGTACCATCATCTGAACCCTCATGTAATAGGGTTTCATTTGTCATGTTATCGGGTACTTTTTGAAGAGGTTTCCAGCTGTACTTCTGTCAGGGCACTGCTGTAAAGCACTTTCAGGTGGCTGATCACATGACAAAATGTCACTTCTCTCAGCATCCCTAGATGATTTTGTACGAGGTAACTCATGTTTTCCACAGGATTTGCTGTTCCAGTACAGGGTGACCACATATAGCCATGTGTTCAAAGGATGGTTGAAATTCCCCTTGCCTGCGACTTGTCTCAAGAATAATCTCTGCATGCTTGCGAGCAGACTAAATCTTCATCCCCTTCTAGATGGCATAAGATACCTACTTCAGCAGCATCTGAGTCACTGGCAAAGATCTTATTGGATGAGTTGTCTGTTTTCTCAGCAGCCTCCACATAAAGTGCAAGATGATTCCAGTTGGGTCCCCATTCACAAACTGTTAAATAAAGCATATCTATGCACTGCGCTAAACTGAGTTGAATGTTAAGTCCCAGCTTTATCCCATATGGCAGGTGGTTTTGGTATACACCCCACGTCTTACCATCTTTACTAATTAGGATAATTTATATACATGCTATTCACAGTGGCAGCCATTTCATGTAGCACCAGAAGGAAAGAGGAAAGCTGGACGGGATCCATTTGGTTACTTTGTGTGCAATGTGCATGCTCAGCATGCCTTTATTTTCTTTGTAGCTTTGAGATAGAACAGGCAGCTTTGCAACACTGGGTCAAATAGAGAAAAGTGCACAGCAAAGAAAGGAGTTCTCACACAGAGAATATAAAGGTGCCTATGTGCTTGGAACTGCCTTTAATAGGATTTTTCAGTGGGACTTTTTGAACCGTATAGCAAAGAAAGGGTATAAATCTCTTGGCTTTTACTGCACTCTGCTTTTATGTTGGTTCCTACAAAGGTTTTAATTCCAAATAAGCTCTTCCAGTGCCTCATACTCAAATTTCTGAAATATTTTGCAGTAGCAAACCTGCTCAGGACCAAACCTGGTTAGGAGAATTTGTGTTGGAATTCCTTTTTTTTCTTTCAAATAGAAATTTGTTGAAACTCAAAAGTCTTTGGCTTTAACAAAGTTCTCATTGGAAATGTTTGTCAGGTCCACATGAAGTCTCAGAAGATAACAAGAAAAGGGTAAAGAATAATGTATTTGGGACACTCACTTGAGATGTAGAAGATGCCGGTTAATTCAGGGTTTTTGCCTCGTCGTTGGGTGCATTTCTTTCTCTCTTTTTTTTTTTTTTTACTGTGAATTCCAAAACTTCACCTTTTTTTTCAATGTACAGTTCTTGTTTTCTCACTGGACCTAATCAGACCCAAATGCTTTCCCTCCAAGGGGAGCCCTTTTCTAGTATCATCTTTTGAAAGGAGAATAGAGGATTTACTGATCTAGTAAAAGATACTCCTGCTTCTCTAATAGATTGCAGCATTAAAACCACATTCCTAGGGTGTGAGACTGGAGGAAGGAGAGAGAGATGGCTGGCACCTTGCTAGAACAGTCAGTGGCCTAGTGATTGAGGTACTCACATGGGATCTAAGAGAAAGAAAGAGGTTGTAGGGTCCTAACGAGGTTGCCAGGAACCCCATGAAATACAATTGTATTTCTGCACTGGATTTCTGCTAACATTGACAATACTCAAAGAGCCCATGTCTTTTCCTGCCAATCTTAAGCCTTGCAGAGCTAGGTAAAGCTTCATCTATAAATAAATGCAACTTTCATGACTGGCTTTACATAAAATACAAGCACAGTAAAAAGTGATATAAACCCTGTACTGTGTAGTGAGTTGTAGAAGTAAAAAAGGGCCTCCTCTGAGAGAGCTTATTCCTGCATGGGAACGTGATTAACTTTCCTAGTATTACTGCATCCACACTAGGGTTTTTTACTGATGTAGCTGTAGTGGTAAAGAACAAAAGTCACACAATAGTTTTACTCGTAAAACTGAGTGTATACTTAGCATAAGAATTCAGTACGTCAGTTATGTACCGTGTCTAAAACATTTCTGGCCTATTTAGCCCATCTATTACATGGGCGATGCTCACCTGTATCCCAATAGGAATTGCTAATGTTGTAGTTAGTTGTACTGAGATTCAGGCCTTCTGAGTGTTGCCATTTCCTGAAGACACTGACTTCTGAGACTGCTCGCAGACCTTTTAGTAATCCTGCTTTAATGATTAATGCTACTTGTAAGAAGGCAAGTAACTGGAGAAGACAGCACTTCTCCAATGTTTGGCACATCTTCCTGTAAACGGGTGACAATTATTCCATACATTTGTTAGAGACGCCACCAGGATATCTTGTGAGCTACTGAGTCAAATATAGTGATGCCTTGTAATAAATTTGAGTCAGTGGATTTTAAAATGGCATTATCATAAGATACTAGTTCTAATTCTGGTCTTATGCACAACACCATCATTCAGCTATCTTTGGGGGAGTTATGGGTTTTATCATAGGGTTTTATACTGCTGTCTTTCACCACAGTATCAGGATGTTCTTGCTGAATCCTGCTGAGTTATTCAAGCCTAAGTGAAGACAAGGTCACCTCACAAGTGCGAGATCTCAGTGTGCATCTCAGCAGCTATAGGCTGTGCTAACTGAGGGTTTTATGCTGTCAGTGACTTAGGTACTTCTATAAATTTATCATCATCTTCAGCAGATTGAAGCCTGTGCTAGCTGGAACTATATGAAGCTCACCTCTTCATATTCAGCACATAATATCAGTGTTTGAGAGGATCCTAAAACTCATTGCAAAATTACCACAATTTACCTGGTTTTCGACCAGGACCAATAAGTATGTAGATTCAATCCCTAACTATAAATGGGCCCCACATTCTGCAAAACCCAGCCCAGATTCCCAGATAGCTTTGTAAAACATTTGGCAAAACTGGTCCAAGTTCTGAGTTTGGGAGACCAGGTGAGTTTTGCCCAGGACTGAGGTCTTTTGTGAAAACTTGACATGGAGTCAAATGAATATAGGAACTAACAAACTCCTAGAATCTGACTTTACCCAGCTTTGAGATTTTTATCTATTGACTCAGGTTGTAAGACATGGACTTTTTGTCTAGCATTTTCTCTGACTGAGATCATTGGTTTCGATTTCAGGATCATTCCTATTTTCCTTGTTCATCGCCCTGAGAATAACATCCCTTATGCAACAGTGGAAGAAGAACTGACTGGAGATTTTGTTAAGTACTCGATCAAAGATGGCAAGGAAATAAACTTTAAGAGAAAAGACTCAGAAGCTGGTCAGAAGGGTTGCACCTTTCAACACTGGCTGTATGAGAAAACCAACGGAAGCTTGCTTGTTACAGATCTGCAAGGTGAGAGGCTTTGATTTAAGTGGTGATACATGATAGTTATGCCAGACTATAATACTGCAACCCAATCACTGCATGCCCTAATAAAAGAAAGATTCTCACAGGTTTCAGCCAGCGCAGCCTTATCTTTTGTTGTCTGTAACAAGCTGACCTGGTTAGGTGTAATCACTCCTGTCTCAGAAAACTACTTCCCTGTCCTGAGAACCCAATGCTGATTAAATCAATCATTCCCAGTGTCTTACACTGGCTAACACACTTACTGTCACTCATGGGTATTTCTTTTATCCCTTTTTAAGTGCTAGCATTTAATCCTTGATCTTTTCTCCCTATTCTCTTTATTATCTGAATACAACTCCTTGCTTTGCACTGGTTCTTTCTGAGGAGAAGTTGTTTGCTTTTGACTTAGCACTTAACATGGAAGACCAATGGACCATTTTTTGTCTGAACCTTCCCATTGGCTTGTATGGTTTGGGAGGCCCTGGCCCTTGTTGAAAGTTTCAACACCATAGCTCTGTAGGTTATGGGAATTCATAAGCCTATCAACCTCACCATGATGCAATCCCAAGAGAGGAATTGTTTTATTATTATATATTGTAACCCAAAATGGGCACTGCACCCTTGAATAACAGGTCTCTACACCCTTGAATAACAGGTTACTTTGTTACTTCTTTATATGACTGCATATGGATTTAAGTTCCTATCTTTAGGAACCAAGATTGGAATAGTTGTCCTAAAGCTTTTACTTTAGAAACGGTGACACATCAGAAACAACTCAGCAGTGGAGTTTTCTTAGGATATGCAATCCTGTGTCAACACTACCCTCAGTAAGACTATGCCATATGCAATGCCTCTTTCCATCTCTACCTTACCTGGAAGCCTGCAATAAAGCTGTTTGCATTGTGCCTCTTGTTCCCTGAATGGAACCTTGAAAAGGATAAGTCTGTGAATGACTTCTTTTTCCTCTATGCCTGGCTCTAATCATGGTCAGTAGAGATAAGACGTGGGATGCAAAAGGTCCAGAAGTCAGGAGCAGGGAGTTGTGGAATTACTGGTGGCAGACTTCCCCCGATTGCAGCCTGTAGGGCTTGGGTAAGTTTCAAACACACCACATAGAGGGCCAGGTAAGGATGAGATTTGACTCCAGACCTTGAAGTTCAGCAGTTTCCAGGAATAGGCTGGACTACCACCAGATTTAAACACTTAAGTTTAAGAGTTTTCAGTGTAGATGTATGTTGGTTTGGATTTGAAGGCAACCATAAGCTTGACCTGAATTAGCAAGGCAGATAGTCTTTGAGACTGATCCATCCACATTAAAATCAAAAGGAACGTTGCTACTAATTTCGATGGCCCCCTGAAACCTTGGGTTTTATAGAATCCGTCCTTCCAAGTGACAGTTACTAACAGCACAAGTAACAGATAGACAAGCTATCTTATACAGACATTAAGGACAGTATAGGTAACCACAACACAAGGCCCCATGCACTACTTAACACATCAAAATAGTCCTCAGGTTGGGCCTAAACAGGGTAGTGGCCGTGTGCTGGTTTGTTTCAATGGTTTGTTCTACGCTACAGCCAGAAGGCCACGTACAATAACAGGTTCACTGATGTCATAGACATAGACATCAGGGCTGGAAGGGACCTCGGAAGATCATCGAGTCCAGCCCCCTGCCCAAGGGCAGGAAGTCAGCTGGGGTCATAGGATCCCAGCAACATAAGCATCCAATTTACTCTTGAAGGTGTTCAATGTAGGTGCTTGAACCACCTCTGATGGCAGGCAGTTCCAGACCTTGGGGCTTGGACAGTAAAGAAATTCTTCCTTATGTCCAGCCTGAAATGGCCTTGCAGTAATTTAAAACCTTTCGACCTCGTCATCCCTTGGGGCGCTGTGGTGGACAAATGTTCCCCCAGATCCTGGTGAGCACTCCTGATAAACTTATAGGTGGCCATCAGATCACCCCTGAGGCTACGCTTTTCCAGGCTAAAGAGCCCCATAGCTCTCAGCCTGTCGTCGTAAGGTCTGTTTTCCTGACCTCTGATCATGTGCGTGGCTCTTCTCTGGACTCTCGCAAGCTTCTCCACATCCTTTTTGAATTGTGGAGCCCAAAACTGGACGCAGTACTCCAGCTGTGGCCTCACCAAGGCCAAGTACAAGGGGAGAACGACGTCCCAGGATTTGCTTGAGAAGCATCTATTGATGCAAGCCAGCGTTTTGGTCGGTAGGATTGAAAGGTTATCCCACAAGATTTAGGCTCCAAAACAGCCATCTTATTTTTGCAGTGCTGAATGGCCCATGAGGAATTTCAGCTATTCTGTTTTTAACAAGCTACTTTGTTTGGAACTTCAATAGTTTTACAAGGTCTTTTTTGGAAGGCAGCTTATTCTCTGGAACTCCCTGGAGAGCTGCTTCTAAGCCCACCAACCCCTCTGCCTTCTTTCATACACCCACCACCCCGAGTCCAGCAATGCTGTTCTTCATGGCTGATGGGAGAAACTCTGTTCCCCGCCGGGCTCCTGAAACCAGGACTTAAATCTGAACCTCTTATGAAAATCAAGGTGTCACATGACCCCAGCTTCCAATGAACATATTTATATAATGGAGTCCTGATCCATGACAAAACAAACAACAAAAACAAATAACAGTCAAAGGAGATTATCTACCTAGAAGCCATCCTTCAGCATTAAAAAAAAAAAATCTACAAATTACTACTATCCAAAAGTCACTGTAGTAGGACTTCCCCCCTGGAATCACAATGCAAGATAATATGATGCAAGAGGAGCTGCAGTTAAATTATTAAATAGGGATATAAAATGCTTTTTAATTGCATTATTTGTAGTATAATTGAAGCACTGAGACCTACCTAGTCATTAGAAAAAGATCAATACTAATTACAAGTGCCTTTGGCAAAGTGACTGGAGACACAATGAAAATATGGATTTTGGAATAATTAAAATAATGCATGGCTTTTGATACTATGGCATCTCATGGGTCAGAATAAAAGATGGGCAGAAATGCTTTAGATGTTTTCTGTTCTCAGCCCTCTGAGCTGTTTCTGTCACGCTGTATGTGTTACCCACAATCAGAAGAAGAAACTGAATTAGCCTCCTGCTGTGGCAAAAGCTTTCAAAACATTTATTGGATTGCATAGCAAAGCAGCACACAGCTGAAATAGCGGGAAGAAGGAGAGTTTTTACATAGCTTGTATGTCTGCAAGAAACCAGTTTGAAAAGAGAAAGTTTTAAAAAGAGATTTATTCTGCTAAGGAATTTACCTTGGCAAATCCAAACACTTAATACAAGGCTAACTATCAACTGCTTGTCACCTCACTACCCACAGATTAGCAAACAGCTTTGTGAATTAAATACTCCAATATCAGCATCCTAGTCCCTCACAATTCCTTATAACCGTCTAATAACCACCTTCATAACCAATAGTATGCCACAGTCAGGCTCCTGGGCTTGTTTGAAGAAATGCTCTCTTTCGGCTTCCAAAAAGCTGCTTTTAAGCAGTTCCTTCTCGTTGTACAAATCCTTAGGCTTTACCCAAGTACACTGTGTTCAATGATTTAAAAAAAAAAAAAGAGTGAACAGAGCAAGAGTCCTACTCAGGGCACTGCAAAGAAGGTTGATTGAAACAACACCATTCCTTACACTTTAAAATGAGAACCCCAACCATGAAGAACAAACTCAAATGAATTCACAGGGAAAACATGTAGAGCAGAAGCCTAGCTTTCTGAGGATGCGGCACATTGGAGCTGGGAAGAATAACAACAGCTGAGCCTGGGAGCAATCTACTCTGTATTGATTCTTACCACTCCACCTCCAAAGAGAAGCATGGTGTATCTGCTGCTGACAGTAGCATCTCATGAGACCCTGGCCATACTCCAGCCTTGCTGACCACTTCCCCTTGGGATGCCTTCGCTGTGACTTGCTGCATAGTTCACTAGCAAGGCTTCATGTGAAGCACTGGAGGACATGCTAGGTGTGGAATCTGCCTGGTACTTGCACGGGTG